AGTAAGTTAATTAACGAGAGTGGCTCATATTTCCGTGTCCGTATCCAAGGGTGGCTGATGCCGATGGTGATGCTGGAGGTGGAGGTGTAGGTGGTGGTGGTAGTGGTAGTGGTGGCTTGTTTTCGATTAAGCGCGACATGTGCACCTTGTCGATATGTGTCCTCCGCCTCCATGGCAGCCCACCTCTGCAGCCGCGCCTCTTTAAAGAAATTTATGCTAAGCACATCTCGTCCCGAACAGATTGAAAACCATCTCGCTGGGTCAGGGCCAGGGTCCTCGGGCGGAGAAGATGATTGTGGAGGCCGCACGACATGGCCAGTGGGTGGTGCTGCAGAACTGTCACGTGGCCATCAGCTGGATGGGTGACCTGGAAAGGATTTGCAACGACACAACCTTGACGGATGGCGCCAACCACGACTACCGTCTGTGGTGCACCTCGTATCCCAGTGCCGTCTTCCCCGTTTCCGTGCTCCAGAACTCCGTGAAAATGACGAACGAACCACCCAAGGGACTAAGGGCCAATATGCATCGCTCCTTCACCTCGGATCCGCTGATGCGGGACAAGTTCTTCACCAACGCCTTCCTCTTCTCGGACAGCGCCAATAAATGCTGGCTGAGAGGCGTCTTCGCACTGGTCTTCTTCCATGCCGTCGTCCAGGAGCGACGAGAATTTGGACCTCTAGGCTGGAACATCCCCTACGAGTTCAATGAATCCGATTTGAAGTAAGGAAATTCTGGGTTGTCACAAAAACCCAGTTGAGATTGTGGGCGGTTTAACCTTTTCAATTAATTCTTAAATTAATTTTCAGACGAAAATCTCTTACCTAATTTACTTTTTAATTACCCAAGACTTATTCTTTATTTCTAAAACAGAAGCTTACTTTTTATTGCTTCATTTAATGGTTTATTTTAATTATTTAAAAAGCTCATTCGGTGAAAAGTAAACTGCATACTAATAGCAATTTAAATGAGACGTGCCTTACTTATAAAAACTAGTTCATAAAAGACGAGAGACTTATGACGATGATCAAACTGGTTGTTGTGATTCTGATATTTTAATATAGATTTTGATATACCCTATTTTAAAATTTCTTTGCAGAATTTCCCTTTTGCAGCTCAAGATGTTTATCAATCAGAGTCAGAGTATTCCCTTCCGTGGACATGTGTATTTGACTGGCGAGTGCAACTACGGAGGTCGAGTTACCGATGACAAGGACCGTCGTCTCATATTATCGCTGCTAAATATGATATACAATCCCAATACTATAGAAGAGGATAAGTGCGTCGAATTCTAGCGCCAATTAAAACAATGTTTATATTTGAAAATTTATAGCTATGCCTTGTCTCAATCTGGAAAGTACTTGGTGCCCTTGAGTCCCACGCGTTTGAACTCCATAGAGTATGTGTCTAGTTTTCCGTTGAGTCCTCATCCAGAGGTCTATGGACTGCATGAAAATGCGGACATCAATCGCAATGTCAAGGAGACCAATGCGGTAGGTCCTCAGAGAATTAAACATAAACATTTTACTATTAATATGTGTATTTTAACAGCTCATCAGTGGTGTTTTACTGACCCAGACGGATCTAATGGCCTCGGTGAAGGCTAGTTCCACGGGCGGAGCGAAGGAGGACCCGGCCATAGCCATCTGTAAGCAGGTGTTGAGCCAGCTGCCCGAGGAATTCGACATCGACGAGGTCTCCAAGACGTATCCCGTGATCTACACCAATTCGATGAACACCGTGCTGCGGCAGGAGCTGATTCGCTTCAACCGCCTGCTCTCGTACATCCGCAAAAGCCTGGTCAACGTGGGCAAGGCGGTGGTGGGCCAGATTGCCATGATACCCGAGCTGGAGCGAACACACGCCTCAATGGTCATTGGCAAGCTGCCGGCGGACTGGCTGAAGAAAAGCTATCCGTCGCTTAAGCCATTGGGCAGCTACGTGAGCGACCTTCTGGCCCGGTGAGTTGCCCTACCCTTTGAAGTAGTCATGTTCAGTACACTGAAAGAACTTCGAGACTATATGCTAAGATTAAAATATTTACTTTTGATTATTTCCAATCCTTTTATTTTTACGGAGTTATTTATGTTCTTTATAGGAACTTCTCCGAACCTATCCAATATATAGTTTTTTCTTTGATTCTTATTATTAATCAAAGACTGGTTTAACGAATTTAGAAATTGAAGTATACTTTCTACTTGCTAGAAACATTTTTCCATAGTGTACTAGTGGTATTCCTGGGCATTCGAACAGATATCAATGGTATTGTATTGAGCTGAGTTGCTGCAAAGCGCCGCGTGCGCCCTGCTCGGAGTTATTTTCGTTCCTTCTACGTTCTTTGGTTCAATTGTGCAAATATAATAAATGTATACGGCACACACATCCGATGCTCTTCCTTCTGTGGCTGCCACTGCCATTCATGGCAAAAATCTTATTTGCTTTTGACATCAAAGGACGAAGCTGTTTGTGTGCTCGTGCTGCTGCTCCAGCTCCTGTTCCTACCAAATGCTTTGTGTGCACTCCCATTCTCATGCCCATTTCCATTGTTGTCGCATATTTAATATTTATTAATAAATTGAAAAATAAGATAACTCGTTGCCATTCGCAGGCTGGCCTTCTTCCAGGATTGGATAGACAACGGAGAACCGATGGTTTATTGGATATCTGGCTTCTACTTCACCCAGTCCTTCATCACGGGAGTGCTGCAGAATTACTCGCGCAAGAACCGCTTCCAAATCGACATGATCTTGATCGAGTTTGCGGTGACCAAGTTCGAGGTGCAGGTCCCTGGAACTCCCGAGGTCGGGGCCTACATCCGGGTAAGTCTGTTAGCCAACTTATTATGCAAACGCTAAACAAGAATAGAACTTGATAAATGAAAACGAGTTTTTAATTTAAAACATTCCCACACACGCAACAGGAACAAAAAGAGGTCAATGATGAGACCAAATTTATCCAAGTAAGACTATTTTTAAAACAATCAATTTCCTGCACAAAAGCCTTCTTATTAGACAGCTTTTTATTTTAGCAAGAAGTAATTTGATTTTAATAAGTACAACCAACTTTTTCAGTTTCAGTTTAAATTAAGATTAAAGTTATTCTTTTATTTTTCAAATGTGAACATTTACAATACAAAGTTACTTTTTTTACTTACTAATTAAATATTTTTGTAGGGCATCTTCATCGAGGGAGCTCGCTGGAACCGCAAGAACAAGGAGGTGGACGAGTCTTTCTCTAAGATACTGTTTGACACACTGCCTGTCATCTACCTGCGCCCCGTGCTGAAAGCCCTGGAGGACTTGCCGCGATCCACCGCCGGCGCTGAGCCGGAGACCATCTACGACTGCCCCGTGTACAAGACCAGCGAGCGGAGGGGCGTCCTGTCCACCACCGGGCATTCGACCAATTTCGTGATGTACCTGCAGCTGAGGTGCTCCCGGAAACCCATGCACTGGATTAATCGGGGCACGGCCTGCCTGTGCCAGCTGGACGACTGAGGGGTGATCCTGTGACTGTGCCTATTTGCGTTTTTTGCCGGCACAAAGGGCCGCACCATCGTCCCATCTATATGCAGATATATATTTTGATTTTGTTCCGTTTGAATCCGCATCCCAGGAAGCCCCAAAAGTGAACTGTCTTGTTTATTTTGTTGGTCCCCGTTTTCCGCATTCACCGAGCGGATCTGGATCTGGATCTGGGCCACCGGCGATGTGGTGGCAAGATGGAGGGGCACCGGCACGCAGTGGCATTTTGATGATGATGATGCTGATTGCCAGATATAAATTAAATATGCACAGTACTATACGGCAGCCTGGCTGGAAATATATTTTTTATGTGCGCCATTTACAAATGAATAAACGAAAGAATAAAGCCCCCAACGCTGTGTGAATATATTTGAAATTGAGCCCGTGTTTTTTTCCCCGAGTGAAACTGACCAGGAAATAAAGTTAATGAAAGAAAGATTTCGTTGTTTCGTGCGCAGTTTAAAACTGAATTACAAGAACGTTTCGTACAGGGCTCAACAGGATGTAATACACGAATACACGAATGAGCTAACGTTAACGTTAACCAATTGAACGCAACACAGAAATATAAAAAGCACATTCCATTCTATTCTTACCACCAATCTACATATCAAACGCTTTTGAACTAGCAAACCACTCGACGTTCCCGCCAAGCCATTGCCATTGCCATCGTCGAGAGGTGCTCCATCATCCATTCTCATCGCCAGAATGGACTCCTCCAAGCAGCCAGCGCTGTGAGTGGGAGATTGCTAAGCCATTTCGGCTTATCCGTGAGATTTATGACTTGCCTGCCGCTCAATTGGAGCATCCACGCCATTTAAATTTGAAATTAAAAATTGAAAAAATGGAAAAGTCGAGGCGATCTCTTAAATCATGCCTCTATTAATAGCCGCCTAATGGATCGCGGCGAGCGGCGAAAACCGAAAATAGCAAACACTCGACGAAACTCGCCATGTCCATCAAGAGCGTATCAATCGAGATGGCTTGGCATGGCATATACTTTCGGCCGATCTTGGCCTTAAGCGCTGGTCGAGAGCCTCCAAAAATACATCGTACAAAATACAGTGATAGCCAGTCCAATGGCGACTTCCGCTTGCAATTACCAATGGTAATGGATTGTCACAAATGTATCCGATCTATTCAGGCCCAATCCGAGATGCAAATAATCGAGACAATCGAAGAGCCCTCGACTATTGTTCCATGTGCCTACGTTTTGGCTCTTTGTTTACTTTCGTTTTGTCTTCTGGCAGCTGGCCGCGCTAATCATCTTTTATGGCCAGCCAGAGTTCAATTGGTGCTTGAGACACTTTTTGACAATAGCAACTAGACAACCCAAGTCCGAGCTCTCGGGCCCAGAAGAAGAAGCCACCGATCGATGCGGTAGTCCGCGGCTCGCCAACCGGTTTCCTCCGCGATCATCGTAGCTCATCTCATCTCATCTGATTTGATCGCAAAGTGAATGGACATCGGCCAGCCGAGAACTTTTCGCGCAGTTTGTGTATAAATAGTGTCGTTGGGTCTGGTTTTGAAACAGAATCAACTTTGGATTAATCTAGCAGACATCGTCTTGGATCTTCTGGAAAAATGGTTAGTTCTTCGCCAGCGATCCTGACCGACCAGGACTAACTGATCAACCCATCTGTTTTTTTGCCTTGCAGAAATTCTTTGTCATTGCCTTTGCTGTGATCGCAGCTGCCTCGGCGGCTTCTATTGCCACGGATTACCTGCCGCCGGTGGACAACAACCTGGAGTCCGCCTCCGAAATTGTGGAGCTGCCCGCCGAGCAGGGAGTTCTCTCCGACGATGGATACCGCTACAAGACCGTGCGCCGCCTCAAGCTGCGCCACCGCCGTGATGTGAACGAGCTGCCCACCGCCGAGTACCTGCCCCCCGTTGAGGCGTCCGCCTCCGAGGCTGTTGCCGTGGAGACTCCCCTGGCCGATGATGGCTACCGCTACAAGACCGTCCGACGAGTGATCCGTCGCCGTCGTGATGTGAACGAGCTGTCCGCTGAGTACCTGCCCCCCGTTGAGGAGTCCGCCTCCGAGGCTGTTGCCGTCGAGACTCCCCTGGCCGATGATGGCTACCGTTACAAGACCGTCCGCCGAGTGATCCGTCGTCGTCGTGATGTGAATGAGCTGCCCTCCGGCGAGTACCTGCCCCCCGTTGAGGAGGCCGCCTCCGAGGCTGTTGCCGTTGAGACTCCCCTTGCTGCCGATGGTTACCGCTACAAGACCGTCCGTCGTGTGATCCGCCGTCGTCGTGATGTCAACGAACTGCCCACCGCCGAGTACCTGCCCCCAGTTGAGGAGGCTGCTTCCCAGGCTATTGCTGTGGAGACTCCCCTGGCCGATGATGGCTACCGCTACAAGACCGTCCGCCGAGTGATCCGTCGCCGTCGTGATGTGAACGAGCTGTCCGCTGAGTACCTGCCCCCCGTTGAGGATGCCGCCTCTGAGGCTGTTGCCGTCGAGACTCCTCTGGCTGATGATGGCTACCGCTACAAGACCGTGCGCCGAGTGATCCGTCGTCGTCGTGATGTCAACGAACTGCCCTCCGGCGAGTACTTGCCCCCTGTTGAGGGTGCCGCCTCCGAGGCTGTTGCCGTCGAGACTCCTCTGGCTGATGATGGCTACCGTTACAAGACCGTCCGCCGAGTGATCCGTCGTCGTCGTGATGTGAACGAGCTGTCCGCCGAATACCTGCCCCCTGTTGAGGAGTCCGCCTCCGAGGCTGTTGCTGTGGAGACTCCCCTGGCTGATGATGGCTACCGCTACAAGACCGTGCGTCGTGTGATCCGTCGTCGTCGTGATGTGAACGAGCTGCCCACCGCCGAGTACCTGCCCCCCGTGGAGGAGGCCGCCGCCTCCGCCATCATCGATGTGCCCGCCGAGCAGACCGTCCTGGCCAGCGATGGCTACCGCTACAAGACCGTCCGCCGCCTGAAGCTCCGTCGCCACTAAGCCGCCGATTGTGCCCACTCCCACCGCAGCATTTGAGATTGTCGAGGATGCTTTTCCAGAAGAAGTCCTGCCTTTGAAAGTCTCACGATGAAACTAACCATAAGTCGAGCGTATTAGTCAATTTGAATCCGTTATGAACAACCCGAGTACAAACCTTAATTAACAATAATAAACATTTTTAAAACAAAAGCTTTACAACTGTTTCTTTTTTGCCCAATCTAAAATTTACTAATATCATTAATATTTGAAATCATTAAAGGCTATAAAGATTTAAGATTTTAAAACCTTTATATATAGTTTAGCATAAATTAATGTAGTAGTAGTTAGTATTCTTAGTAGAGATTTAGGACCTCCAGCTTGAAACCAAAAAACGAATCCGAAGTGGTATACAAAAGAAGTTTAAATTTGACAAAACCTTGATGAAATCGTTTCGGTTAGCAGTTTTTTATTGTGAAAAAATCACATAAACTGTTGGTCGAGAATAAGCGATAAAAACAAAAAAACACTCTCGTTCTATTCATTGAAAAATTAATACAGCTATAACTAGTTAACTTCCATTATTTAAATTCTCGTATATTAATTCAGTAAATCAAAATATTTATAAAATGAGAATAAGGTTAAGTACCCAATTCATCGAATTTGTATAAACACAATTCTTTAATTAGCTTTAATGCTAAGAATATGATAGTTGTGATGTTTGTAAATGTTACCCACTCTGTGGTGTTTAATTAAGTAATATGAAAGTATTTCTCGCAGTGTTGCTGACCTCAGTTTTCATATATCGAGAGAATAAGAGAGCCCTCTAATCTTATCTCTGGCAGATAAGGTTCGCTGCGATAAGATACGAGCACCTGCCGCCGAATGCAATCACGCACAGGTTTTTAGTTCCACTTTTGAGTTGACGACGTGCGCGTTACAAACTTGGCTAACAGCTGAAAGCGAACAGAAGTTTTTCGAACGAACCAACGAAAACGACGGAAATGAAGTTGGCTAAGAAGTGCTCCACCTACTTGGTGATATGCCTGGGTAAAGTTCTGAATCCTCGTTTGAATCTGCTGAGTTTTGAGTGCCAACCAGAGATACGCATACTTTTGGCCGTGTGTTCTGAGTGCCTGTGAAACTAAGCTGCATTGTAAGGCGCTGGTGCAACCAAAGGTGTGGGGTCTTAATGACCCAACTTCAGCAATTGGAGAGTTTAACGATGAGTAACTGGGCCAAGTGTGCGTCACACAATCGCCCACAAGAAAACTCTACAAAAATGTGTGCTTATCAGTGCGATTCAGATAAGTGCTGTTTACTCATTGTTGCCCCACAACACTTGTGGTGTTTATTTCAGGGCGTGGTGAATCAGAGAGGAAAATAGTTCTCAATTAAAGATTTCTACAATTTAACAGATTAACAGCGGGCAGTTAAAAAATGCAAAATCATTTTCATTTCATGCAATTTTGATTAGGCCGAAAGTACCATGTCCTAAAACCGGAAGTGGCATAAGCTCGGTAATTATTGCGCATATAAATTATGAAATATGTTAAACAAAAAATGAATGAAAACAATTAATTTCGGTTAGTGGCTGGCCAACGAAACTCGGTCGCACTCTTAGCCACATCCATTTGGCGGATTGGTTTTTGTCAAAGCCCCGTGTCCATGAATCACCGCCTAATCGAATCGCGGGGAAATCGAAATCAATACTGCGTTTTCCATATCGACAACTAAATCCGTTTAATATTTCATGCGCAAAATATGCCGAATGTGCTGAACCAAAACAAACAGATGAACGAACACATGGAAATATTATTAATTAAAAATACATTTTGATAATTTTACGTGAAATCGAGTCTGACATCCGCAATGGAACAATGGGGAAGAATATGCCAGCTCACATTTATCATCGAAGTTTGGCGCGCGCGCGCCAGAAACAGCATTTATTTTGTTGATTTTGGCTTGGCTCTGTTGTTAAACATTTTCTCAATAATTAATTGTTAATATCTTAACAAGTCTTCGCGCATCTGAAGATCTATATGATGAATGGTCGTGGTGTTATTTCAATGAGTTCCGTTCCGAAGCGAGCGGTTTGGCTCGCTTTATGGCTGGGTTTTGATGGATGCTTCAAAGCCAATGCCGCAATCGCAGCGGGCCACCTTCGACCACACGCAGCGTATACGTTAAATATATGTTTTGCGCCTCGGACAAATCACTCCCAACATGCTCGAGTGCCCCCTGTCTAAAATACATTTTTTAAATATTTTTTTTGCAGTTCTGCTGGCTTGCTGCTTGCAGGAATCGGAGGCCACGCGACGCGTGAACCGCGGTCGTCGCACCCTCACCCGCAGATACTTTAGTAAGTGGTGGCGTATACGTGATAAAAACATAGAGATTGCTAATCCGCCTCGTTTTTGCAGGTGGCCTTGGCATTCCCGGCTGGGCTCTGATCGTCTGCATTGCCGTGGCTGAGCTGCTGATTGGCGGAGCCCTCTACTTCATCCTGAAGAAGGTGATCCTGGACAAGGAGCCCGATCAGACGGCCACTTCCTATACACCCGCCAAGACTCACGAGACGGCCCCAACATATACTCCTGCCCAGACGCATGAGACGGCCAATGTGACTCCCACGCCAACTTCGCATGCCACCGAAATCGCTTGAAGAGGAGGTCTCTAGCCGGAAGTTCAAAGCCCCATCCTAAACAGTTCAGTTCCAACTCCGCCATAAACTAGCTTTATTGTCATTTAATTAACACACATGCAAACAGAACATGTAGGTTCTGTGCCCTTTTTTGCCTTCATTTTCGAATAAAATCATTTGTCGCTAATCTGGCGCCAAACTAGTTCACATGTTTTTTGAATCGATCGATTTGCTGGCTTTTAGTATTTTATTGCACCGGCTATGCGGCCAGATATCAGTCCATATTCGATCCAGTTTGTCTACCGATTGTCTGCATCACACGCAACTATAATTTATTTATACTTAAGCTAAACGGGTTTTAATAGTTTGTGGTTGGTGTAGTCTACTCTAGGGCTGAAGATCAACGATCAAAAGTTAATACAAACAATTTGATTGCCTATTTTTTGGGATTTTTAAAAAACAAAAATAAAACTCTTTTCAAGCTAGATCGACTTTTTTTTTGGTAATGAAACCCAAATTCACCAATATCTAGTTTCACAACTCCTGGTTGTTGTCAGGCCTTTAATAAGGCTCATTAGAAGATTTTGAATCGTCCAGGTTTAACCCTGTGAAAGAGGCGATTCCGATCCTGTAAAATATATTTGTATTTTCTATTTGCAATTTAAATTTCATTTCATTTCAATAAAAAGAAAAAATTATTCCCTTGAAACCGATTTTTTGCAATGCGGCTCGATTTCGAAGAAAAATAAATGGGTTCCAAGGGAATTCGTCAACTTCAGAGGCGTATTAATTTGGTCCTAAATGACAAAAAAAAAGAAAAAATAATAATAAAAAAGTAAACATATTACATTTTTTTAGTTGCCAACGACAATAATCAAGATTGCGATTTTTTGCTCCGTTGCTTAATTTGATCAACAACCAGCAAAACTCAAAACTCAAGTCAGTCTAGTTTTCCATTCTGTGCTGATCGGTTTAAAATGACATGGAATTACGTATTGATCGGTAAATACCTATTTATATACGGACGAAATAATGGGCGTGAATTTTCATCTGTGCCTATAATGACACTGAATATAACTCCCAATATCACGACCTAACCTGTTTTTTTCAACACCATTATTTATACCCTGTACATGGAACATTTATTTAGCAATTCTTCGAAACTACAAACCAACATACATGTGGTGTCTAATAAATTTTGTTAAATGATTTTCTTTTTCCAGCCAAGTTGATATCGTTGATATGCCTTATCCTCACAATCGTGGTATATCTTTCAGTCAAGGATCTCCGAAATGTGCTGGGAAAGTGCCTCATCAGCAGCCTATTCTGCCTCAGTGTGCTTTGCTGCATTTCAATTTCGAGAGATTTAGAAATATGGGAAACTGATTTAATAAGTTATTTAATACAATGTAAGGGCCAGTGAAAATATTCATTAAGTTTTTAATCATATATTCAACATTTGTTTTAGGTGACTTTTTGTTTTGGATTGCCTACAATTTGTGGATATTAGTCCTCAGCCATCATCTGTGGGGCATTTTAAGTTCGCAAAGTCGCAAAGAACCTCCTTATCTGTTCCTAAAATATAGCGCTTTTGTCTGGATCACGGCTTTTACCTTGTGTGGCTTGCGTTTTTTATCGTCTGAATTAAATTTTGGCCTGTTCGCTGGTATGAATGAAAGAAGTGATTTTTTAATAAGCGATAATCGAACTTCCATAACTTGAACACCACATGCCAACGGAAATTTAGTTAGAAGCTTGTTTGAATTTAATTTTGCATAAGTTAAGACGACAACTATATAAAGTCGCAAAATGTTTAGTTAGTTTTGTTCTAGCTTTGAAAAATTTGGAGTTGGGAAAACTATGGTAATGGAATTTCGATCTATGGTGTAAATAGATTTTGTATATAAGCAACTTTTATTCAAAGTCTTAATTGCAATGACGGATGTGGCGATTATGAGCATAACAATATGTAGTGCGATCTTGTTTCTCCTGAGCGCAATTTACACATGGAACGTGAAGAAGGAACTGAAAAGGCTTAAAACCGAGGAGGAACCGCCGACGACCTGCTTGAATTTCAATAGCAAGACGTAAGCCCTCATTCCTTTAAATGTTCGTATCAAATGATGATTTTTATTTCATTATCAAAATTTAGTTATATTCAGTTTCCGTGGTTTTTTATTATTATGGTCACACAATGTTCCCTGACGTTCATTATGTGTTTAGCGGGTATCGTCAAACCTGATATCTATGATGATCTTGACAACTTGAATTTATGCTTTGGTATATTCATTTTTGTCGTGCTTATCCTAAGGCGTAATACCATGAAGATGCTAATGGATAGGTAAGTACCCGTATGACTTAGATTCACCTCCGATAGACAAAATCCCTGTCCTTTCAGCATCCGAGGAATATCAAATGAACAATGTCCCCGGGTAAAGCAGCCGGCTTAATTAATTGTATAAGATCAAAAACTTTGTTCAAAAATTATATGAAACGATTAAACCATAAAAATATCATAAATTTATATTTTGAAAGATAAGCTTTTGGACAAGAAAGGAAGTCGAATTGTATATACTTTTGCGGCTGTTACAACAATTAAAAGTTCTATAAAACGACTATATTATGATTTTTATTCGTATAAAATTAAAAACGACGAGGCTGTGTCGATTTTTCAATCAATTTTTCGATCGTTTCTATGGGAGCTATATGATTTAGTCGTCGATATTTATAATAGGCAGCTACTATATATATGGACCAAAAGAAATGTATCGCTAAAAGAAAGTGGTGTCCATACCAAGACTGTACGAAAATTAATTAGTTCTGGAAAGAGGTGGTGAAAAAATTAAAATTTAGGAAATTTGAGATGGATTGGATTTATCCTAGTTGCATTTTCGTTTAAAATACGCGTCGAGCGACACCCAACTTGGTATTTTAAAAAACATGCTTGTTTAGCGGGAAATGAACTAGAAAAATATAACATTTTTACGGCAATTATTTCTAGAGAACTAAAGCTTTATGTCGTTGAAAATGTATTCTGAGGTTCTCCCCTCCCCTTCTCTCAAAAACGACGATTTTCTTTTAAAGTACATAGCCCATGCCTGTCTTAAAACTTGCTTTCAAAATTAACTTTTATAAATTTTCTTCGGAAAGTATCAATTTGGTGAGAAAAGTGTTATAATAAAATGATGTAAGTAAATGCAGGAAAGATTTTTATTAAATATTTTTAAACTAATAATTAATTTAAAAAAAAACATGAAAACTATTACTAAACAAATAAACGTTTTATGTAAAAGATGAGCAAGTCTAACCCAAAAGAAAATGCCTGTGCAAAATGGTTAAATACTATGCTCAATGTACAATTTTTGTTCACAAAAATTAGAAAATTTGTATTTTTATCGCACCTGCGTCACGAGTTTTCTTAAAAGTAAAACGCTAATTACGATATACTATATTACTTTATTATTATTAATTTATTATATAATATATAGCTGTTCGGAAACTTCATTAAATTTTAAAATTTTAAATTGATTGAAATGTTTGCGTAGTGTTATAATAAAATATTCCAATAAAAACGAGATCTAGTTCCCTTGATCCCCATTTGTTTTTTAATGTAGCTGCTGGTCGGGCTCGAAGGAAAATAATTTCGTTTTTATTGCTTAAATGTTTACGACTAATTGGTTTCAAGAGAATTCGTCAAGAGAGGTTTTTTAATAAAATAAAGTTTTAATTATGGTTCTTACTTTATTTATCAGGGATCGAGATAGCGGTTTTGTGCTCCGCTTTTTGGTTTGAAATATTGGACTTAAAAACAACAGCAAATTCAAACTCAACTCAGTCTAGTTTTGGCATTTTGTGTTGTCCGGTCTAAAATGATATGGAATTATTCACTGTGCGGTAAGAACTTCAAATATCCAGAAAAATCACGAGGAGATTCTCATGAGACATTGTGAATATATCGCATTAAATAACGACCTAACCGTTTTCACATTATAATGTAAGCCCTGGGCAATCAGGTTTAAAGACTCTAAATACATCAGTTTTTTTCGGACTCTCTAAACCTGCTGATTACTTACATGAAGTAAACAACAAATTTAAAGCTGGGTGTCCAATACATTTTTTTCTCTGTTTTTGTTTTGCCAGTCAAGTTGATATCGTTGATATGCCTTACCCTCACGATCGCGGTGTATCTTGCAGTAAAGAAACTTCGAAATGTGCTGGGGAAGTGCCTCATCAGCAGCCTATTCTGCCTCAGTGTGCTTTGTTGTACTTCGATTTGGAGAGATTCAAAAATATGGGAAAAGAACCATACAGGTTAGTAAAAATATAGCATATGTTCTCGATATTTTTTATAAAGTTTACAATTTCAGTTTCCGGTGATCTTTTTTTTGGGTTTGCCTATAATCTCTGGCTCTCAGTAATCAGCTATCATCTGTGTAAAATTTTAAGGTCGCTGAGTACCAAAGAACCCCGTTATCGATTTCTGAAATACAGCGCCTTTGTCTGGATCACGTCACTTATCTTGATAGCAGTCGGTCATTTGTTGTACATATATGCTTTTGAAGCGAGCTGTAAGTTGATTAATATATATAGATTTTAAGAGCGATAGTCGAACTTCCACAACTACCGTGTGCCAACACAAGAGTTTAGATAGATATCTCCAAATAACATTTTCTCAATTGTGAAACATAGAATAATGTCTGCCATGTCCCACGATCAATAAATTATTTATTTCTAATTGATTAATTGGCCAAATATTCAAAACACGTGCTAATTATTAATGTGATAAATGATAATATTAAGTTTATCTTACATCTACATATAATCTATTTTGTTAACATGAAACTCGTTGTTATGAATATATTTGTTACTTATCGAATATGCTATTGCCATCTAGTTTTGTTCGAAAAATTTAATTTAATTAAGACTCTATTTGCAAATCGACCCAAAGGAATTTTTTATTATACCCTTGCAGAGGGTATTATAATTTTGGTCAAAAGTGTGCAACGCAGTGAAGGAGACATCTCCGACCCTATAAAGTATATATATTCTTGATCAGGATCACCTCCTGAGTTGATATAGCCATGTCCGTCTGTCCGTCTGTCCGTCTGTCCGTCCGTCCGTCTGTCCGTCTGTCCGTCTGTCCGTCTGTCTGTCCGTCTGTCTGTTTCTACGCGAACTAGTCTCTCAGTTTTAAAGATATCGAATTGAAACTTTGCACACACCCTTATTTCCTTTGCACGCAGTATATAAGTCGGAACGGCCGGGATCGGCCGACTATATCCTATAGCTGCCATATAACTGATTGATCGGAAATGCCATAACTCTGCTGTTTGTTAAGTTAGGAAGTTGGGACTCTCTATGGGTATTATATTTGGCCAATCAATCCGACGTACCAAATTTCATAAGGATCGGCCGACTATATCCTATAGCTGTCATATAACTGATTGATCGGAAATGCCATAACTTTGGTGTTTGTAAAGTTAGGAAGTTGGGATTTTCTATGGGTTTTATATTTGGCCAATTAATCCGACCTACCAAATTTCATAAGGATCGGACGACTATATCTTATAGCTGCCATATAACTGATTGATCGGAAATGCCATAACTTTAGTGTTTGTTAAGTTAGGAAGTTGGGATTTTCTATGGGTTTTATTTTTGCCCAATCAATCCGACATATCAAATTTCATAAGGATCGGCCGACTATATTCTATAGCTGCCATATACATAACTGAACGATTGGAAATGCCATAACTTTGGTGTTTTTAAAGTTAGGAAGTTGGGATTTTTTATGAGTATTAAGAACGCATCATATGAATAATTTTGGAGAATATAATTTGCAGAATATTCTGCAAGGGTATTTCAACTTCGGCTCCGCCCGAAGTTAGCTTTCCTTTCTTGTTTTTAGTCATATTCTTCGGTTTTATGATGATAGCGACGATTGGGATGCTAAAAGTATGTAGTGTGATTATGTTTCTCCGGACCATAATTTACATTTGGAATGTAAAGAGGGAAATGAAAAGCTTTTCTACAGAGCAGGCGACAAATTTCGATAGTGAGACGTAAGCAAAATTTCCTTGAAATTTTTTGACAGCATGATACCTCTAACAAATCATATTCATATTAGTTATATACAGTTTACACGGATCTCTTTCATCATGGGCGTAAATTGGCTTCTGGAGTTCTGTTCTGTTATACTGAGTTTATTCTGGCCAAGTATCTGTGGATTCGCTAAAAATCTTAATTTACACAGTGGTGTAATCATTTTTGTCGTGCTTATTCTTAAACGGAATACCATAAAAATGATCATGGATAGGTAAGTTTCGTATGATTCATACACCTCCGAAAAACCTTATCCCTGTACTTTCAGCACTCGAGTAACACAACAGAAGAAACATGTCCGCACTCAAAGGGTACAGCAACCGGCTTAATTATTTGTAGCCTTAAATGCTGGACAATCTGCCAAAAGTTTTCTAATTTATTTTCCTGCCTAACTGGAAAAGTAAAATAAGGCAGATACATTCCTCAAGGAATAAGCTTTTTAATAAACTTATATCCAAACCAAAACCAAAAAAAATTAAAAGTTTTTCATAAAAAAATAAAGAAAATCAATTTTTTTAAGTGTTACATAAAACACAATCCAATAATTTGTTTTAAATATTGGCTTCATTTAGCTTTATGTATATTAAAACGATCCCTAAGCGTATTTCATTTATTCGCTTAAGAAAGAAAAACTTATAGTTGGCCAAACTTAAAATCCGCAGGCCCAGTGTGGAGTGCCAGGAATGCATTTGATTATCCCGCCCTCAACCGAAACATTTTGGTCCAGATTCGGGAATTGAGCTGTCCTCGCTTTGTGTTTGTATCTGAAGCTATATCGCTGACTGATTTCGGTGCCACTCGGGATGCGGCGGCCACTTGAAGTCGTTTCCTCGCTTTGCCGCTGACAAATCGAAATTTATTATAAACGCAATTGAAAAATCCCCAGTGCGCCACTTGAGCTGGATCTCTAAGCTGCTACATAGAGCAGATCCCGGGGAATCCCGGCCAAGTCAAGGGCCTGGCAGCCAAGTAGTTGTAAATGCCAACAATTGGCGCAACCGAAAGCCTTTCCGAAGCAACGCGCTGGGGCGAGGGGTAAGGGGTGCGGGTTGAGGGGCGGTAACCAAAGCGGATTCCAAAATTGACACAAAACAGACAAAAAGCAAATCGCTTAGGCGCAACCACCCGCAACCGAGCAGCCAACAGCCCCCTTCCCTCCCAGATCCCCACTTTCAGACACGAGTGCAGTGGCAGCCAAAAATTGTGCAACTGGAGCGACACTAGAATGCTGCACTTAAAAAAACATCTGTGTAAGTTCAAGCCACTAAAACTTTATAAAGGTGATATCTAATAAGTTTGCCTACAAACCAGTTAATCATTATTCCAAAAAAATATATATTATTATTAATATATATTATTATAAATAAAGCATTTATTTACAAGTAAGAAAATACTTCCAAAAACCAATTATGCAACGAACTTTAATATAATTAAGAAAAAAAAATAATGTTTAACTGCAAACAAGGTAATAAAAAACAACTAAGACAATAGTTTAAAGAAATGTTTTGTATGATATTTATTGAGAATAATATTTGTAGCCACTTATGCCATATATTTTGGGACCATTAACTAAAAGTGAATTGTTTTAAATATGAAAAGGAAGTTTCACATTATACAGAAAATCATTTAAACGTGATTTGTATACCATTAAGTTATCTAGATATGTTTTGTGTATTTTTTACAAGTGCTGGTGAGCCAGCGAGGATACCTCGCCAGATACTTGGGCTTTCGCAGGAAAGCCACACAAAATAGCCCTGCATGCTGGCCATGTTCCCGAAAGGACTTTCGCCCCGAATGGGAATGCAAACACAGTGCATATGGCCAGAGAGCGGCACTCCTGCAATTGTTGTGGGTCAGTGGGATCCGGAGTGGTAGCCGGAGGTCCTCCGACGAGCAGGAATCCCGGCGATTGCACCACTCTGGCCACTTGGCCGGGTTTAAGCGAGTGTTTGTGGGGTGTTAAAGTTTATCAACATATCGTCAACGTTGTTGTGCCGTTGTTGTCCTCCGACAACAGTGGCTCATATTTATTTATGGCTCAGCTGCCACTCGTCCACATGACCCAGACTGGCCGCATCTTGGATGGAGGAGCACCAGCATTGTGGTCGGAGTTCGGTCGCTGGACTGACAGTTTGCACTGCCATCACATTTTTTCTGCCGCTGTGTAGCTACGCTTTTCAGGGACTTAGACATGTACACTTGTTGTAAACAACAACATTAACAAGGGTTTGCCGGGACACTCATAAGCATTCATTGGAAATCCTTTTCGATTTATTTGCGTATTCAAACGGAAACATTTAAAGTGATTGCGGATGCAAATTTCCCTGCCAAGTAGGCAGCACGAAATCGCTCAGATGTACCAACTTCCCCAACTCGACCCCGGGATGCTTTTTCCTTTCTTTCGGTTTTCTGCTTTCTTTGCTTTCTTTCTTTGTCGGACTTCGTGTGTGTGTGTGTGTGTGGATTTTCAAGATCTGAGCGCGTGCCTGGCAACATTTGCGGTTTTTGCGCAAACTTCACACATTTTCTTATGTGGGGCCAGCTTTGCCTTACCTTTTTATTGTTGCCAGCGCCATGAGAATTTCAATTTTCACACAGGTGCGTTTGTGTTTGTTGAAAAATAAATATCAATCATACGCCCCAGTGGCCTCTGTGAGTTTTGGCCCCCACTAACCGCTTTTATGAGTTCTGTTTAATTTGATATGGATATTTGCTTTAACAATTAGTTGAATACTCTCCAGAATCTCAACTTTAACTTGGGCAATATATCAGCAGATGTAGATGAGTTGGGTACTTACTTCAGCTCGGTTATCTGCTGTAATTGTATGTGCTTAAATTTAAACTTGGTAATGGTTATATCACGTGGAAAAGAAAGTACCACCTTGTAAGCCTTAAATTTAATTCATAAAATATAATAAATTTGTGTTAAAATTAAATGTTTTAAAAATTAAAAATAAAATCTAATAATTAAATTAATATGCACTTAATTATATGAATAATATTGATCAATAAATATGTAATATTCTTTTGAAAAACTTTTAAGCATTTCAGTAAAAACCAATTTAAATATACATTGTTTGCATAAAGTTTTCCCCCAAATAGTATGTTATAGACATCTGATTTGTATGCCGTTTCAAACACTCGAAACTGAAAGCTTTTGGCACTTGCATGCGACTCGTCGCGATTTTATATGCCCATTAAGTTCGCACTAAACCACTAAAAAAGGCTGTTAATCAGTTGAAATTGCTTGAACAAACCGCCGAATGAAGGGGCTCATCAATGAGCGGCGATTTGCGATCGAGTCAGCTGCTCCACTTGAGCCGCTGTTTATTTTACGACCGTTCATTTCGGCTGTCAGCATGTTAATTATATTGAGGCAACTACTGGGTATGTGTGATTAATTGGTATATGGACAATTCCCGCACTCGAATCGCTTGTGTTTACATACCCCCCATACTCACACAATTGCCACTTGACCAGCACTGTGATTGCGGCTTATCAGTCAACAAGAAAACCCTTCTAAGTGGTTTAACCGATTGGCCCAGAGTCAATAACAACACTCTGAATGGGAGAATTCGTTAAAGTTTAAGCCACTTTCACCTTACAAGCCATTCAATGGCGTTTATGCAAATCGTCCGGCTGCAACTATAAAATGCAGTCTGTGGATAAATTTGTAACGAATTACCAATCAATTGACCAACGAAACAAACAAACCAAACCGAAGCCAGACTTTTGGGTGGAGAGACCGCAAAAGAGGTCTGGGCTGCCGCCTTGTAAAACGATTTGGATTTGGAATTGGAATTGAAATTGCAATGCAACTAAAACAAAAACAATTTAAATATAATGGAACCACAACGACTCGGTCTCCGGGGGACTCTGTGAATAATTCAGCAAGAGCAGAGGCAGAGGCAGAGGCAGCAGCAGCAGAACCAGCAGAAGCGACTGCAAATTAAATCAAATAGTTATATCATGCGAGTAAATCGCTGTGGATATCGCACATACGCCCCGTTGACCGCAGACTCGAGTCGCAGCTACTTACACGCCGCGCTCATCGCTCCGGGCATCAGTACGCGCCCAGTGCTCAGCCGCAGCAGATCGTGAATGTGAACGGACATATATATACGCATATATATATATAGTGTGCATCCCGATGTCTGGGAGATAGGGCCGAAAAGCACACAAATATTTGCACATCCCAAAGGGGGAAAAAGAGACTTCCTGTCCGAATTAAATTCCCCGTACACGTGCTGCATCGTCTGTGGCCGGGATCTGAAAGCAAAAACTCCGTCACCGACTACGTCTCCGCTTTTTGTGCTCGAACTCCAATCAGGAGCCGTTTCGTCTAGTTTTTCCGTACTTTTTGCTCCGGTCCCACCACTTCCTCGCCATGCATTCGCCGGCAGCCAAAGTGTCGGGCTACGTCGTCCTGATGATTGTGCAAATAATCTTCCTGGTTCTATTCTGGCTGTTCGTGCGTTACGAAAAGACCGCGCTGCCCCGGGCAATCGACGCCGAAGACGCTGGATCAGCAAACGAACACGTTTCCAAATATCCGCGTGAGTAGCAGGGATTTGCCCCCATCCTTTGGGAATTTCTCAAAAAAATGCTCAATTTTTTAGTGTAGCACTTTTTTTAATGTTCTTAAATATTCCGCAGATTGCTTAGGCCCAGATGCTTATCTATCCTTGTTTTCTTATATTATTGATAATTTTTATACATAATTTTTAAATTTTCAACAGAAGAAGGTTTCTTTCATATCCTAAAATTTGTTTCCTAGTCGAACTTTTTGACGTGCCCCTTATGTGCGAAAAATACGCAAGATTTTTATTAATATTTAGAGTATTTATTTTCTTATTATGATGACTAAGCTAACAAATATATATAGCATAGAAAAATACTTTAAACACGCCAAACTTTTTACAACCTTCAGATTTCAATGTGCGAAAAAATTTGTTGACAAAACTGTTTTTTATAGGCCATACATTTCAAGTATTCTTCTTTTGTTTAATTAGCCCGCCTTGGCTAATAGACCACTAAATTTAAATATTCTCGGCAAAACTCAAATGTTCTAACTAATCCAATTACTATTTATTTACAACTTTAGTCGAGCTATCATTTTATTGTTTGTATTTTTGCAATATTTTTCTGTTGGTTAATTAGCCCGCTTTGTCTAATAAAAGTCAGTAAAACTAAATATGCATGGAAACAGCACAAACATTTCATACTGACAAATTGAATAAAAACGTTATTGTATTTGTTTGAGAATTAATTTACGTAGCACCCCCCAAAAAGTTCAACAATTGTGTGCGAAAACTAGTTATATATTTGTATTCACCCCTCTAAAATAATAGCAAACGTGCAAAAATATCATTTTTAGTACTTGTACGTACTTTCATTATTTCCATATTATTGTAGCTTTTGTTTGTTTTTGTGCAAAAATTGACACTGCAATTTATCCCTCCTGGCAAATGCACATCTTTAAATAGTCAATTTGAACAGCGACTTTATATAAATAAATAAATATCATGAGGCTTATTATTAGATTTGCTCTTTAAAATTAACCGCAAATGTGCGAAAGTTTTTCGTTTCGGATCTATTTTTATTTGTCGAGTTTTTTGAAGCCTTTTGTTCTTTTGATGAATTAGGCACGTAGGGCTAATAAAAGGTACTAAACATGAGAAGACTTGGCAACAGCTTAACTTTTTCATAGCCCATATATAAATATCTTTTTTGGGAGCTGACTCACAGAATTGATATGAAGCGCTGATAAATTGAGAGCTTTTTAATTCATTAAAAACAAGAAAGAAAAGCTAACTTCGGGCGGAGCCGAAGTTGATATACCCTTGCAGAATATTCTGTAAATTATATTCTCCAAAATTATTCATATGATGCAATCTTAATACTCATAAAAAATCCCAACTTCCTAACTTTAAAAACACCAAAGTTATGGCATTTCCAATCGTTCAGTTATATGGCAGCTATAGGATATAGTCGGCCGATCCTTATGAAATTTGATAGGTTGGATTGATTGGTTAAAAATAGAACCCATAGAAAATCCCAACTTCCTAACTTAACAAAAACCAAAGTTGTGGCATTTCCGATCAATCAGTTATATGATGGCTATAGGATATAGTCGGCCGATCCTTATGAAATTTGGTAGTTCGGATTGATAGGCCAAATATAACACCCATAGAAAATCCCAACTTCCTAACTTCACAAACACCAAAGTTATGGCATTTCCGATCAATCAGTTATATGGCAGCTATAGGATATAGTCGGCCGATCTTTATGAAATTTGGTAGGTCGGATTGATTGGCCAAATATAAAACCCATATAAAATTCCAACTTCCTAACTTAACAAACAGCAGAGTTATGGCATTTCCGATCAATCAGTTATATGGCAGCTATAGGATATAGTCGGCCGATCCCGGCCGTTCCGACTTATATACTGCGTGCAAAGGAAAGAAGGGTGTGTGCAAAGTTTCAATTCGATACCTTTAAAACTGAGAGACTAGTTCGCGTAGAAACAGACAGACGGACAGACAGACGGACAGACGGACAGACGGACAGACGGACAGACGGACAGACGGACAGACGGACAGACGGACATGGCTATATCAACTCAGGAGGTGATCCTGATCAAGAATATATATACTTTATAGGGTCGGAGATGTCTCCTTCACTGCGTTGCACACTTTTGACCAAAATTATAATACCCTCTGCAAGGGTATAAAAACTGTTTGATCTTAGGCCGTTTCAATGTTTATGAATTAATAGTGAATAGATAAGATCAGACTATAAAAATAAATAACTCAGAAATGTCTAAGCCAATTGAGAATTGTATACTCAAATTGTCGACCATTTTATCCAATTGAAATTTATATATTTCATTGATAACCAAGTAATTAAACTAGTACTAGCACCATAAAGCGAAGTTCTATGCTTAATGGTCGAAAACAATTAAAAGGACACCAAGTTGAAGCTCTAAATCAAAGCCCACATAAAGCCATTACCCATGCCGCCCCAGCATATAGATGTAAACTCTAGTCCTGCTCTATTTCGGGGGAATGCGAAGAAGTCAGGACGAGGAGCAGGACCTGCATTGTTTGCCAAGTGTTGGCGGGTCATAAATAAATGAAGTTCTTTTTCGCACAGTCTCCGCAGTTTTTTTGGGTCCCGTGGCACCAATTCCATTAATTACTTCTGCCACTAGAATACAAGTCCCGTGGACGGGGTACATAGTGCCGAACCGAACCGAAACGAACTGAACTGAACGGAGCCGAACAATGGGACACACACGCGCACAAATGAATAATTAAAGTCATTAATTTCAATTTATGCAAATGCGTCTGTAAACAACTTGTTGCAATTCATAATAAATAAATTAAACCGTATTTCACACTAATTGCACCCGCGCGGGCACACATACGCACACGGGGGGTGTGTGTGTAAAGGGGGGCAGATTGGTGGGTTGGGTGGCAACATGGCCGTCTTGGTGCCCTGGTGACATCAATCTCAATGCAATTGACTTTTGGCAGCAGACAATTGGGCGGTTAATTGAAACGACTTGGCTCTGTTAATTGGCATCCCAACTGGCCAAGACCATCCTCCTCCTCCACTCCCTTGCCGGACTAACCCTCTTGTTTCCCCCGCAGAATTCCAGGACATCCAGGTGATGATCTTCATTGGCTTCGGCTTCCTGATGACCTTCCTGCGGAAGTACGGATACAGTGCCACCGGATTCACCCTGTTCATGGCCGCACTCGTGGTACAGTGGGCCGTCTTGATGAAGGGATTCCTGCACATGGAGGGCGGCAAGATCAGGTGAGCTCCTTGCCCCGATTTCAATTTATTAATTGCTCGGTTTCGAGTCTAGAGCGAAACTGACAGCCAACAAAGCAAATAAGTTTGCAATGCTAAATGAAGAAAGATAGCCCCAAGCTGAAAATGAATTCAAGCAATTACTTTAAATGAAGAAGTCAACCTGCAAAAGGTGGAGAGTTTGGGTGAAGTCTTCTACTTATGCTAAGTGAAAAGGGCAACAAAACCCAAGTCAAACGGCAAACAAAAGGACGAGCGACTGTAAAAAAAACTGACAGTGAACTGTACTGAAAGAAAATAAAGTTATTACTAAAAAAGTAATAGTAAAAAAAAATGGTGTAAAATATTTACAAAGTTTCAATACTAATTTAAATGGATTGTATTCGGTAAACATAAAAAAATCTAAAAATACTTAGAATATAATTATTAATATTTTAAGAACTTTATATTTTTTTTGCAGAGAAAACATTGTATTTATTTTTTATAATTGCTTTATAATTTTTCTTGCCGAATTTGTACATCTTTTTTTTGCTGTGTAGAAATATAAACTGCCTGGAAGTGCTTTGAAATGTATTCCATTTCATTTGGCGGCCATTTCTTGCTTGAGATGTCGCCATTTTTTATGAGACAGAGGGCGTGTCACCTGTCGCACTTCCTGTTCATCGTTTCCTTTCCCTCTTGCTCCCACAGCCTCTCCCTGGAGAACATCATTGATGCGGATATTGCCGCAGCCGTGCCCCTGATTAGCATGGGCGCCCTGTTGGGCAGGACCACGCCCATCCAACTCCTGTGCATGTCCGTCTTCGAGGTGGCTCTTTTCGCGGCCAACGAGTATCTGGCCCTGCATGTTTTCAGTGTGAGTAGCAGAAGTAATTTACTGAAATGTGTATAGTATTCATTTAACTCAAATATAAACATGTGATACAACTCATCAAAAAGTGAATATATATTTAATATTTGCCTAAAATCTGCTCATGAATATAGGTTAAAACAGGTTGTGGAAAATGTGTCATACATATGCAAAGCAAATAATAATACATTTTACAATATAGAGATAAATTTATGCAGTGCAGGAAGTTATAAAAATAAACAGATAATTTCCATAAACTTAATCAGAACGATTTTAAAATAAGCGTGTAAGTTGAACACTTTTTGTATGCCTTGATTGGCATAATTTGAAGCCGAAATTACCTTTAATTTTGTATATATTAATTACGTTTGTTTTAGAATATTGAAAGGTCCACTTTTTTCGTTTACACTCCATACAGATATTAATTAAAATTTTGGACATGAATGCAATTTTATATTTTGCAGGCTTTTTGTGTTATATATACTATATAATACTATTAGCAATACAGTTTTGATGGCCTAAAATTATTAAGCCTGTTATTTAGTTTTGTTCGCTATATTTCTAAAAACTAGTTTTGATGTATGCAAACATTTTCCTAAAAATACATTATTTTTGTCTAAACTAATTAAGAAATTAATTTCTTTGGCAGATCTGCGACTGTGGCGGTTCCATCACCGTTCACGCATTTGGCGCCTATTTCGGACTGGCAGTGGCTCTGATGTTGAGGCCCGCCAGCGACCAAAATGAGGCGGGAAAGCTCGAGGGCGCCAGCTACACCTCGGACATCTTCGCCATGATCGGCACCACCTTCCTGTGGGTGTACTGGCCCAGCTTCAACTCGGTGCTGGCCGATGGAGCCGGCGGCGAGCGGGCCATTTTGAACACGTTCCTGTCATTAGCCGCGGCAACAGGTGAGTCACGTGCCCCGGCAATTAGCCGGCTCAAGTGGAGGGCAGCTGGGGGACATTCCATCGCCCATCGTCCATCCTCCATCGCCCATCTCCCTTCTCCCGTCATCTTTCTCCCTGCATATCTTCCGGCCATCTTCGCCCACTAGCACATATCTTCACGCTCGACCGGGTCATTCTCCTCGGGCTGCTCAGTCTTCTCAGGCCTTGTTAATTATAATGTTGGCGGGCCTATTAGCACGGTTCCCGATGAAATTGAAAAGGCTCGCAGGCAGCTTCTTGCTCAAACCAAAAAGCCCTTTCAGAGTCCTTGTGCATGCGACTCACAAACTAATTAAATGTCAAATAGTTTCGTTAACACATTTGAAAATTTATTTTGAGCACGTAGCGCACATAAAAACGTACCAGCCTGTCCGGCATTTGCTTAGTCCTTGGTCCGAAGGTGGGTGGGTCAGTAGTCAGCAGTCAGTGGACTCTGGCAAATCCCAATCCCAATCCCGATCCCAGCCAGGTCCAGTCTGTCCAGTACAGGCACATACGTATAGAAAATGTGCTAAAAGCAGGGGCAGCAGCCCGGGGTCGTTCTTTGCCTTGGTTGACTCGCTCGGTTAATGTAAATAACAAAACACAAATTAAATGTATACAAAGGACGCCCGGCAACAGCAACAACAGCAACAACAACAGGCGTAATAATAGTAGGGCCAGCAGCTGAGATAAGCCAGGTTGGAATGGGCGCCACTTGGCTAACTGTGGCCGGTCTAGCCCGGTTTCTGCTCCGGCTATCCTAACCATGGCATTAAAGCCCTCACGTTACGGCGGCGGAGGTAACACCTAACAAGGCACATGAGTTAGCAGCCACTGGGCGAAACTGCAGAACGTATATCCGAAAACGAAAATACCCTATACTATTCATTCAAAGTAACACAGAAAATACTACTAAAGCATAAAATAATTTGTTGTTTATATTGAAAAGTTATTAAATATCAATATTCGGTTTTCAGCCACTTTGAATAAACACAAATATTTCTCATGAAATCATAACTATTTTCGTTCTTCATATAATTAGGATTTTTTTTGTCCAATCAATATATTACAACCTATATTTTTGAGTTCATTTCAAAGTAACATTATAATAATTAATTAAAATATTTAAAAATATTTTTATATGAACTAATAAAAGCACAGAGACTTTCTTTTGTTTGCACACATTAAACCCGTCGTTATTTGTTATAATTTCCGAATAAAATACTTTGTTTGTATAAATAGTCGAGTAAAATTATTTATTTCATGCCAGCATTTAAACCAAATATTCCCACAGTGGTTATTAAATGTATTGCAAACTTAAAAATTCTGTTACCAAAGTTTATTGGCTTTTAATGTTGACCAAAGAACTCTTCACTGTGAATTTTTTTCATTTTTAATTGCTCGAATGGAAAGCAAGCACAAAAAGTATAAATAAATCATATTGGATATTTTCAGAGTACCACTTGATATTATTCCATATTGCATTTTTGCCAAAAATTTCTTGGCTCTTTGTGGAAGTACTTTTCCAGAGTACATCTTAATTTGAGTTAAAAATTCTTGTCTCAATAAAGTGCATATTCAAATTTAGTTGCAATTCATATCCGACCAGAGGAAACTTAATCAACGAATTCCAATCTGTGTGGCAGAATGGGATGACCCATCCCATAAATAGACATCCTAGAGTATCCTTTTCGAGTGATGGAGGGGGGGAAAGTGGGAGGCTGGGCTGGCATTTTATGCGGAAGGATGTGCGATTAGTTGAGTCAACGTGGGGCTCCGACCATTGCAGTGGCCTACAGCCCATCGCCTCCTCCCAACGTGTCCTTGTCCATTCAGTGGCCGGTTGCTTGGCTCACTGGTTGTTGCTTTAATTAAACTAAAGCCGGGGTTCAGTTCAATGCTGAAATTAGAGGCGGTCTGGTGGGTGTGGCCCACGGTCCCATGTCGTCCATGCGGGCGGACATGCATGGCCTGGCCAGCAGGATTGGTTTTGGGGAAGAGCAGGAGGGGATCGGATCAGACGACGCCATTTGGTGTCCGAATGCGGCGCCAACGGCAAAAATACGCCCCAGTTGTTGTTTTCACACCAGGCACAAAATGAGCCGGAACGCCGTTTGGACCTTCTCCTCGAAAAGCACTGAGAAAAATATAAATTACTTACTAGTTTAATTAAGTAGCTTTGGACCAAGTAAAGTAAAAATAAAATTACTTACTTATGCAACTTAAACCATTATTGTTTGGGGTATTACGTTTAACAATGGAATTGCCATTAATAATTAGTTTTTTGGAAAAAACACGAAGGCAATAAAAACTTTACGATTTTATTTTATACAAATAAACCACAATACTTAAATAGAAACTAATCATTTAGAACCATAATAAATATAAAATGGTTATGTTATGTTATGGTTATGTTAAATGACATTTTATGAAGCTAATTATGGCTGGCAAATCAAGATCAATTTAAAATTAATTACAATACCAATAATCAGAGCTCGGAAAATAAAAAGCCATTATTTTATTCAATTTTTTTAGATAGTCGTTATAATAATAAGTGGTAATTTTATATTTTCAGCAAAATAGATATCATAAACATACATCTGTAAATCAAAAGCTGAATTAATTTATTTTCTCCTGTGTGCTTTGGGTTTAGGACTTTAGTCTGGTCAGTTGGGTGTGTTTTTTGGGGTGGAGAGAAGGAGGGGAAGGAAGCTGCCCGCATTGGCCAACAACGCTAAGCACAAAACACATTTTACAGTCGCAAGTGACACCATTGGCGTTAATTTAAATTGTTTAATGTTCGAGCAGGAGAAAGCAAAAGCAAAGGCAAAAACAACAGCACCGGCAGCTGATGTCCTGAATCTCGGATGCCGTTGGCTTGGCTTTGGTTTAGTCCTCCGGCAGGACGAGGACCGGCTGTAAAAAAGCTGTTTAATTGATTTTTAAGCCAGAATTTGCTGTTCTCGTTGTTTTGCGTCGCCCGGACAACGTCAAAAGCTGTTTTGAAATTGTTGCGGTTGCCGCTGCTGCCCCCTCAAACTGTCCCTGTCGGTTGAGATTTGCCTTACTTATTTGCAGTGGCCAACCGACGCCTGGCCCCAACTAATTTATGCAAATTATTATGGCTGCAACATATGCTCCGCCATAAAATGGAGATTTTTAAGTATTTAGTGTTATTCAGCCGAGATTTATGCTGGCTGCCGGTCATAAACTTGTTGTGCTGTGACCAGCACCAGAAAAGCGGCAAGGCGACAAAGCACTGGGGGCCAGCCGGAAAACCCGGGAAATCCGAAGGGATCTTTCCACTGTCGTGTTTACATTTTTATTAGTTTTGTGTTTATTGCAAAAGTGCGGTTCAGTTGTTGTTGTCGTTGTTGCTGGGTGTGTCATTCCTGCTGCTCGAGTGATTAGCGATAGCTGCTTGTTGGTCTTAGTAAACATAGAATGGACGGTTTATAAATGCAAACGATTTAATCCTGCAACTAAGTTTGCTTTCTAGTGAGACAGAAAGTGAGTAAATAGCGATGGAAACGAAGACTTTGTTGGTCAACACTTCGTATACGTGATTTTTCTGTTTAACAGAGAACATAACAGAGAATTTTATCTTGCAATTATAAAAAAAGTCTTACTAAGGTAACTATAAATGAGTAAATAGCAATGGAAACAAAGATTTTTCTGGTCAGCACGTTGTATACGTGATTTTTCTGCTTAACAGAAATTCATAATTTCACAGAAGATTTTATGTTACAATTATAAATAGACAGTTTTGCTGAGGTAGGTTAATGAAACTATAAGTACTAGTTTTTGCCAATACATCTCCAAAAGCAGCATTATTTTTAAAATCATTTAAAGCTGTTTATATATATAATAAATATATAGTGATACTAATTACACGTTTTAATTGAAAAATTTTATATTTTATATTTTGTTAGTTGAGACTTTAGTTACCAAAATATTGACGACTCCTTAAACCCGAATTATTTCCCAGTTAAGTTCTTAAACAACTCTCTATTCATGCCACATTTTTAACTGCCACCCCGCACCACCTTTCCGCACTCTAATGAACTAACCAGAGACTCATTCAAAAATGCATTAAAATCATGTAATTAAGCCCGGCCATCCAGGGTGCATTCGAAATCCGTTCGCTGCATTCAGACCGCCCTCGCCAACCATAAATGTGAGCCGCAGCCTCCCTTTTTCGCGTTTTTTAGCCGCGCTCCTTTCTGGGCCATCATGCTAACTCCGCTTCGCTGATATTTTGCAGTGACCACCTTCGTCGTATCCGCGCTTGTCAGCCACGAGAATAAATTGGACATGGTGCACGTGCAGAACTCGACCCTCGCCGGCGGAGTGGCCGTGGGCACGGTGTGCAACTTGCTGCTGGGCGCCCACGGCGCTGTCTTAATTGGCATTATCGCCGGCACGGTCTCGGTGCTCGGCTATCGCTATTTAACCGTAAGTTTGGCAACCTGAAACTGAACGCACATACAAAAAAAAAGGGGTTCCCTCCATACAAATATAAGCCCGCTATTCAAATCGCGCACCTGGAACACAGAACTAGCTAGTCGTGGCTTCGCTTTAATTAGTGCGCCTAGGAAAAATGCTACGCTAATGAGTAAAGTTTGTTGCCCGCCGGTCTGCCGCAGCCGGACTTTATGCCGCACTCCGGGTTTCCCGGTTTCCCGGATTCCCGGATTCCGCCGGACCTCCATTTGCATTACGACCACACAGCAACCAAATCCGTGATGTTCCCGCTCGCTGGAGCAGTAAATAAATTTGCACTTTTCAAATGACACACTGACTCCCTGCCATGTTTCACTTTTATTTAATTTAATGCTGGTACTGGCCATTAATTATTTCAAATTTACAAAATACATCTCTTGGCGCAGCATGTTGAAAGTTTAAGCAAAATTTATTGCTTTTACTATTGAAATTGCTTAAGATATAGTTTTGGAGGTTTCTACTTAAAGTGAATTATTACCTATAAATCAAATAGGATTTTATTAATAACTTTTCTATTAAATCTCGAAATCTTACAAAATATAATATTTATTTGATTGGCAAAGCTTTTAATATTTGTTTACCGAATGTTGGTTAACATTTACTTAAAAAAATTTTTGGTAGATAAGTCCCTTTAACAAATTTGCATTGTAAATCCTCCTTACATTAATCTTTATTTAGTTTCAAACTTATGGTACATTTAAATATATTAAATCTTTTATACAAATGTGAAATTTACTCCTTATCTTTATATAAGCCGATTATAATATTTAATCCTTGTGGCAGCCCTGGATGACGGCCAATCTGAGGCTGCACGACACCTGTGGAGTGCACAACCTGCACGGAATGCCGGCTTTGATTTCGGCCATTGCCTCTGCCATTTACGCCTCGATGGCCTCCGTGGGCGAGTACCAATCCGAGCTGAAGGACATTTTCCCGGCGATGGTGGGCACCAACGGAACCGAGACCAAAATCATGGGCGTAAGTATCCATATCCATCTGTTGCATTGGAGGGTTCTCTAATCTTCTGGACTTTTTTTTCCGCAGGGTCTGGGCAGGAATGCAACTTCGCAGGCTGGATACCAATTGTTTGGCATTGCTGTTACCCTGCTCATTGCCATCGGCGGCGGTATTTTGACAGGTTTGTATGAAACATATTTTAGAGTACTAGAAACAAGACTTTTTTATAAAACCCTGTTGAAATAATAGTCAAATGTGTCATTCGGTATACAATTTAAAAACGATTGGCATTCACAGCTTAAACATTTTATTTTAAGCCAATTCTTAGATATTACAAAAATAATTATTTATTTTTAATTCGAATTTTCTCAGGGGCCGTGTTGAAGTACACCAACTTCCGGAACCTGAAGAAGGACGAACACCACCAGGACGAGCACTATTGGGAGGTGCCGGCTGCCGAGAACAAGGAGGAATAGTTAAGTGTTGTGCCTGCCTGATTGATTACAGTCGACGCGTTTCTAATGTGCCTTGTCTAACTACTTACGACTACTTTATTATTATATTTACATTATTTTATTGTTCGAAATGCACGCGTTGCCATTGTGCCTGCCCTCATCCAGCAAAAGTTTGCCAAAATGTTTGCCATTTCCGTTTGCCTTGCTTTGCATTCGCATTTCGCTGATTTGATTTGCCGCCTTTTTTGCAGTGAACTAGAAAAAGTTGACGAGCTTCTGCTGTAAGCCAAATAAGCCAATGCCAAGCCAAAAAACAACCAAGCAAATGCAACAGCAGCAGCCATGAGCCATGGGGAGCAACCCAGGACAATAGGGTCCTCCGGCCAATCCCTTTGTTGTCCTTGCCTGCTTCGCTTAATTTTTGTAGACATTTGTCGCATTTAATTAAAAACTCCAACAATTTACACATTTAATTAGCGTCGAGCACAGAAAAGCAGTAAATGCACAGCAAACAAAAAAAAAAGTATTAGCAATAAAAATATTTTAAATGTGACACTCTTCTTAACTCCCTCTGTATATTTCGCATGCCGGTCGCAATTTTTAATGGAATTAAAATCATACACATAAAATCCAACAACGAACGCTGGCGCAAAAAGTTTAAATATGCTCGCCAAACTTTTGGATGACGACGCCGCCAACTCGAATTCCCAGTCTGCCGCCAACTTTAATTGGCGCCCATTTCTGTTGCGCAACTGGAATGCAATTGTCCCCGCCAACAATTTGTATGTGCGCGGAGCACTGCACTAGGAGCCGCTAATTAAGTGGCCCAGGACAAAGTGCCTGGCTAATTAGCCGACTTTTGGCCAAGACACCGCGATCCCATCCGATCCGATCCGGTCAGCTTGGCTTTCTCAGGTTTTCCCGGACAGCTTTTTTTCTGGCCAGCTCAGCCGGCGATTAGCGCACCTGGCGCCGAAGGCCAGTAATCGCCGGACAAAGGCGAAACCAGGAATAATGTCTTTCAAACGACTCCCAGTCGCTTCGGACCGGCGATAAGCTGGCGGCCAACTACTTAAGTTGGCTTTGTCACCCCACACAGACGCACAAACAAAGCCCCAAAGGCAAACAATTACCGGCGAAAGTTCAACAAGTTTCAATAAAAATTGTCAGTCAACGTCTTGGTTTTGCTGGGCTTGGGACCTAACTCATTTACAAAGATAAAGATAAGCCATTAAGATTGTACAGATGTCGGGATGGTTCCCGATTTTAGTTTCACAAGTTTAATTTTGCCGAAATATAAATAAAGCTATCTAAAATATGAATTCATAAAATGCGCCTCAATAATTTTGTTTGGTATTTTAAAAGTGTATGTAAGTATATTTATTTATTGTATCCACCAATCATTATTATTCATTATTTTGAGCCAAAGTGGGGCTATTAATTGAGTGCAAATGACTCACATAATTTTTTCCAGCTAGATAAAACGACCATTCATTATATTTTTTAAACGATTTATTGTGTTATAAATACTTCCTCTTTGTATTCATTATAGAAAAGGTTTTAAATAAACTGAAAACATATAGGAAAAAATTGCAGTCAACTTTTTGGCCTATATCAAAAACATTAAAAAATTCAATAAATACTAAATCCAGAACATTCCTATAGTTCACCGAAAATCAATGACATTTTATGACTGTCTATAAAAGTTTCCAACAGCAATAAAGAGCGATTTTCCAGTGAGAAATTTTCGATATAAAATTCTCATAATTGGGTTTCTCATTTCGAACTGCCGAAAGTATCTGCCCCTCAGATCTGTGACGGCCAGTAAATACGGTTCAAGCCTACTGTTGTGAGGACTAAGCGGCCTAAAGTTCCACGACGACAAGGCCGACTAGTCAAATGAGTGGCCAGAGCGGCTGCTTCTGTCTGACTGCCAGACCGGTCTGGCAGGACCTGAGCAAGGACTCCGACAGGAGGTAAAACAGGGAACAGGAGACTGAGTAGATTGTGCAATTTGGCAAAGTATTCCCCGGTGCACCGTTCCACTCTTTGGCCGACCAACGTTGACGTCTCTGTCTCCCCATTTGCGGTTGTGTTCGTGATTGCACTGGGAAAAATCAAATACAAACAAGTCTGTCTTAATCTTGAGTCAACATCTTTGTTTTGTATGTCGGGGTCGATTTTTCGTCATTTTAATTAACACCATTAAATTCAAATTTTCGAAAAATGGCTTTGCTGAAAAGTCACCTAAAACCTGCACTTCTCAGCCCATAACTTTTCTTACAGAAACCCGATTTCAAAGTGGCATACTTCTAAATGATTGTAGTTCAATTCTCTAAAAATCTGTGTTTTCAGTTTGTTTTGTATTTTGGGGTCGATTTTCCGTCATTTTAATGATGTTACCCCTTTCCAAATTTTCGAAAAATGGCTTTTCTGAAAAGTCACCCAAAACCTGCACTTCTAATCCCATAACTTTTCTTACAGACACCCCATTTACTGATGGCATACTTCTAAATGATAGTGGTTTAATTCTCTAAAAATCTGTGTTTTCAGTTTGTTTTGTATTTTGGGGTCGATTTTACGTCATTTTAATGATGTTACCCCTTTCCAAATTTTCGAAAAACGGCTTTGCAGAAAAGTGGTCCAAAACGTGCACTTCTAAGCCCATAACTTTTCTTACAGACATCCGATTTCAAAGTGGCATACCTCAAAATGATTGTGGTTAAATTCCCTAAAAATCTGTGTTTTCAGTTTGTTTTGTATTTTGGGGTCGATTTTCCGTCATTTTAATGATGTTACCCCTTTCCAAATTTTCGAAAAATGGCTTTGCTGAAAAGTCACCTAAAACCTGCCCTTCTAAGCCTATACATTTTCTTATAGAAACCAGATTTCAAAGTGGCACACTTCTAAATGATTGTGGCCCAATTATTGATTGAGATATAGTCATTTCTTGATGATTTCAGAATGAATGTTTTACTTTTATAAAGGACGACTGCATCAAATAGCTGCCATAGAAACGATCAAAAAATTAATTGGATTAATAGTCCTATTCTCAATGTTTTTAAGCATTGAAATCGAAGAATAGATATATAAACTTCGGATATCCGAAGTTAGCTTTCTTTCTTGTTTTTACACGATTTTCTCGCAGTGCTCGCTTGTGCCTGTGTCCATGTCTAAGTGCTGTTTTATTGCATGTGGTTGGCTGGTCGCCTGCCTTCCTGACCCTTTGCCTTCGATGGTCGTGTGCCGTTTGCCGATTGCCAGTCCAAGTCCAGACGGGCGGACACTCACACGTCTATAATAATAATTAACAGCCTGAAACTGAAAGGAAAATATGTCGTCAGTCCCAATTTTGTCCCTGTCCCTTTACCCCCATCCCCTCTCCCCAATCCCTTTGCCGCTTTTGAGTTCTTATGTTCCTGGCTGCGCCACGAAGTATGCAGCATATTTTATGCATGCCCGCCGCTAAAGGACAACTGTCGACTGTGGACTGTCGCCTGTGACACGGCTGTTATAAAAAGTGCAGGAAGAACAGCAAGGACTGCAATTAAGGCAACTTTAAGCGCGTTGACAACTCTGCCGGCATCCCGACATTGACTTTGCACTTCCTTTCGCCTCCATTTGCCTCTTTTCACCGCCCCGTTTGCTGCAACAAATTGTTGGCCATAGTTCTTTCCATTGTGGAGCTGCCTTTTGCTCCGGAATGTTGGACGAGCCGAGCAGCTGGGGATTTGTTGGCGTTAGTGTTAGTTTTAGAGCTCCTTGTTCTTGTTGTTGCAGGAAGCCTCGGACTCGGTGTCGGAAGCTTGTACAGCATTTTGCAACAGTAATTTTTTGGGTGTTGTTTCCGCCGGCGCTGACAGTTTCCCCGCCCCATCCCGCTTCGCCCAACCCCCGTTCCTTTTATGGGCCAACAAATGGTCTGGTCTTGGCCCGAATTGAAAGGGTCGCCATTTGGTTAATGTTTCATCGAGGATCGGGGCTCCTGCTGACGTGGGCCGCTTGCAAAATTCATGATTTACGTTTAAGTGTCATTGGTGTTTAATTATTTAACCAGCCACGGGTCGTTTAAGCCGCCTGTCACCCGGGGAATCGCATCGGTTGCGTTGCAGGTGCCCCAAGAAATCCACGATGCGAGCACTCACGTGCGAGCTGTATTTGCTCGCCGGGGTCGTGGATTTGGAGTCACTCCGGACGGGCTGCTGCCCCTGGACGCGCTTTCCATTTCGTTGCGAGTTACACACTCGGAAAAAAAAAGTTCTCTTGAATTTAAGACCATGAATTCGAAATAGAATAGAAATGAAGCCATGAATTCTAAATAGAAACAAAACACAAAACTATGAAGAACTAAGAACCTATTTAAAAAAAATTAAATAAATACATTACAAAAAGGACTAACCAAATAGGAATCTTTTCCTTGAAAAAATATATAAATCTTCAACAAATACTTATAACTACATTTTTTTAGCCTCTTAAAATATTCTCTTCGATTTTACGTTTTTCGCCAAGATCTCCATTTATATTTTTTCTGATTTTACCTTAGCCAGTTATAAAAATTCTTTAGTGAACCTTAAGAAAGAAACTACAATTGGTACAATCGGTAAATTAAGTTTATGTGTATACCCATGATTAAAAACTAAGTTTTTAGTTTTTCCAGGATGTTTTTCCAGGATTACAATAACTGAAAAGTAATTTAACCGACGAAATTAACAATTTTAATGATCTTGGCATGTCTGAATACCTGTTTTTTTCTGCTTTTTAAATGCTTAGTTGAAGGAAACGTTATTTGAGATTCGTACTTTTCTCAGTGCAGGGCCTTCCGACTACCGAAAATTCGAGCGTGTTCCTTGGCTCGCTTATATAAATATGCGCACTGGGCACGCAACGCAGGGGAAGTGGGAGGGCGGACCGAAAAAGGGACCTGGGGAAGGGGTTCGGGGAAAGGCGACCCTGCACAATTTGCAATACTCCAGGGACTTTTCACTCCGCTGCCAGTTGATATGGATATGTCTGTGTTCGCTTTGGCAGGGGTTTTCTGCAGGGGATGGGGTTGGAAAAGTACATATGAGAGTGCTGAGTGCGTCAGGTGGATGGAATTCGGGGTGGCGGACTCGACTCCCTTTTGCATGCCCGGCGCACATTTCGTGGGGCAGTGTCAGGGCAACAAAACGTTCAGAAAAGTGAAATTAAATAAATTTTATAACATAATTTACGCTATCAAAACATGCACTCCCCTGGCGCCCCGGCCCACTGCACTTGTCTGGCTTAAATGTATGTGTAATTGTATCCTGGGACCTGCAGTAACCTCCTTTCACCGACCGCCTTCTCTACCAATTTTTTGGCACTGCCGAAAGCACTGAATTGTAGGCTTCAATTAAATGTTAATTTTACAGAGCTTAAGCATGAAATTCGGTTTTATCCGGCGGGAATGGGGATGGTGATGCGGCTTCCACTTCTTGCCGCCAGCTTTTCATTAAGGCAATGTGTATAAAATTGTGTATTTTATGGCTGCATTTTAATCTTTTTTATTGGCAGCTCACTTTTCAGCACACGAACTCATTTCTTTGCTGCCAGCTCACCTGGCGGAAAGGTGGCTTAAATATGGCGGTGGAGTGCTTTCAAATGCTGCCAATAAATGAAAGGAATTTTTTAATACACGGAGGCTTTCATTGAAAAATATGAAAATTAGCCTTCCCTGCCATATTTTGAAACTTTAAATTTGTGGATTTGTTCATCGTATTCAGCATTTTCATTTTATTTTGAGTAACACACTATGTAGTACATAGTCTCTTTTGCTGAATTTTGTGCCGGGTCCATGGCTAACTAACTTATTTTACTTTTTGTTCAATGCAAACATTCTCAATAAAAACTGAATGAAGCGTATACTCTTAATTCATTTCAAAATTCGCTTGTCTCTTTTAAAATTATTTTCTAGCTGCAAACAATTTTTTGGGTCCCACTTGAAGACGCTCGAGGGCATCTCTTTGCACTTGACTTCACCTTTTAGCCCGGAAATTTTTGCGCATAAAACATGTTGCAAATAAAATGCATTTGCCACTTGTCCGAGTCGTTTGTTTGTTGCTTGTGGATGGGCGTGGACCTTGTCCGCCCCGAAACACATTCAAAACACGCTGCGAACTTGAATACGCTCGAGTGTTCATAAAAAAGCAGACCCATAAAATCCATATTGAAGGGGCATGGGTTCGGTTCAGTTTGCTTCTGCAAAAAAAAAAACAGAAAAAAGTGCCATTGTAATAATGTCCAAAAATATGTTACCAACACGTGTAGCCTGGCATGCGAAAAAATATGGAAAATAAACAAA